TAAAATCACCGCACATTGGGGGCTCCACAGGTAATCTTTTTTTACCCCACTACGATTATCTTCCCCCGCTGGTCAAGTCTATTGAAACTGGTGACCTAACATCATTTCAGCCTCTGTGCGAAAAAAGAGAAAAAACCCCCCTCTATCCTCTAGTTGGGTAATGTCACGTGGGGTGGGCCTGAAGGACAGCACATAGTTCTGTTCTGCAGACAGGTGTCCTGACCTTCTGTCTGCAGTCCCACGCCTCGGGGGACCTCTGCGAAATAGAGGCCAAGGCTCTGACCTAGTCTCTCATCTGTAGTTTGTCTCTAAACGGAGGCCCACAGCCAAGGCAATGAATCACAACAGTGGAGAGCACAAAGCCTTTATTTCAAAACTAACACCGTAGCTTTAAAGGTCCATATTGGAGTATTTCCTTGTATTTGTAACAAAGAGTGTTGTTTATATCTCTTTCACTCACAATCAATAGAGCACCCATATGTTTAGATTTCAAATGGCCTCCCTCCAATATCCACTAGCCATTGCAAGAATGTATTATTCAAATATGGAGATGAAAGTCCCCCTCTGATCCACCAAAAATAACATATTGTGGAGTAATCTGTTTGTAGATTTGATTCCTTTGATGATATTATCCCCCTGGGGTTGGCTTTACACCGGGGCAAAGTAGCTTTGAAGGCCATGTATGTTGAACGCTTCCTGTCTGCTGTTTAAGTTGGCAATCTCTGGGAGATTGCCAAGAATGACCACGAGAGCACATGAAAAGTCTGCACAAGAATACAAACCTTGAAGAGGATTTCAACATTACCATTAAAGTACATTAGTACTGCTTTAAGTATAACTTTTAACCTGTTTGGATTTGATTCGATAAAAATGTTAGCTGTTGTATCAAATTATTTGTTAAACCCAAGCAGATAATGGTAAACATTAAGCAAAAAAGCACAAAACCCATTAAAGGTGGGGTAGGTAATTTTGGAGAAACCAGCTCGAGTGCGCTAGAATTTGAAAATACACAGCCGGAAAAAATCTGCCACTTCCTTACAGAGCACCTCCTCCAACACACACGAACGCGCACATGACCAATGAGGGCACGAGATCAGTTTGTGCACAGATGGAAGGCTGACAGGCAGGTAGGCCATCCAGTTATTTTAGCCGGGCCGGCTAAAATGATTGGTCGTGCTTTTTACAGTACTACGGCTTCCACAGATGAACATTTTTTTAAGGATTTTTTGTCAAAGCACTTAAAGATATTCATTGCTATCGGGATGTTAAGATCATTCATTTCATTTCATTTCAAACCTTTATTTATCCAGGTGTATCCCATTGAGATCATTGATCTCTTTTTCAAGGGAGACCTGCTCAAGTAGGTTCCACATGAAACATAAAAACATAAACAGAACAACAAAAAGGACATCATACAGCATCATTACAGGGTTTACAATTTACAATAACTATCCACATGAGCAGGTACCAACAGCTTCCAATTGAGTAGCATCCAACCGAGCTTTAAAAACATTTAGTGGCACCAGATTGCTCAGTATTCCATGGAATATAACAAAAAGTGTATCTCGAGCCGGTTTCTCAAACTTACCTACCCCGCCTTTAAGTTGGAACACTGATATCCTCCTACATTATGGTTTGTTTTAGTAATGAAGCAAGTTATTTTCCAGACAATGAATGACATTCTTTTTTGCAGCCCCCTTGTGTTTTGTTTTTAATTACATGCGCATTTCAAAACGTTTTTGCTAATGTGAGATCATCTTACTAATGTAGAGTACATACATCTTCAAAACAGCTGAACTTGTTGGTTCATTTTATTTGAATGAAGAACAGGCTTTTTGCATTTATATTTATTTGTAATGCGCAAACCTTGAAAAGACTATTGTTTGTTGGCCGTTACTGGCCAGTAAGTACACCCAAGGAGGTGTAAGTGAAAGTATTTGAGAGTATGCATGCTAAAACATTCCATTGCTTATCCACTTTCATCCAATTATTTTCAACTTCCACTAAGAGTGGAAAATTCTCCCTCGCATGGAAAAGCCCTTTTGTCTCTTAAATGAACGTACTCAAATGGAACTCTTGACCATGAGAGTTAAGCCTTGCTAACCATCCATTCACTTGTTTTTCTCCGTTCACATCAGATGAGTATCGGCAATGATGCCACACTTTGTTTCACACAATGAGAGAGTTAATTGATATGCAGTGGACTTCCTCGCTGTGTGAAAATACAGGATGTGCAGTCTGGGCCTAGCAGGTTTTCATGGATACTTGCAACATTTCGGCGTTCTTGGGTTCTCTCTCTTCTCTGTACTCTGTAATAATCACCCACTTGTGTGATCTATGCGAGAAGGCAGCGAGTGTTTGAGTCTGCACACGTGTTTGCACACTTATATACTTCACAATGTGCCTCCGTCAGCCCATCGGTGTGTGTGTGTGCGTCTGCCGATGTGCGTGTGGCCGTCTGTGTGCGGTTCATGCTGAACATTGTCTTCTTGAAACACTGAGCAAATTTCTTCAACGTGATAATTGGCTCCCCGGGGTGCTTGTATCTTTGCTGCTCATCATCGTCATCCCCTCCAGAAAAAAAGAGAGTGTGTGTTAGATGAGATAGGCGAAGTTTGCTCGTTTGCCGAGGAAGCTGATCCCAAGTCTGCCTGAACTCTTTTGGCAAGAAGAAACTTTGAGGCAATGAGACAGCAGGGCTAGATCCGGTGCAACCTGGCTGCAGGCTGCTCTCTCAGCGCCTTGCTTTCCATGGAAGAAATTAGCTATTTGAGGCAGGTGATACATGACGCAAACATCAGCTGCAATGTCATTAGGCGCATTCACACCGCAGTACTTTTCCCACAAAGATTCATGAGAACTTAGTTCATGAGAACTCTTTAGTTCTCATGAACTAAGTACAGATCGCGTTCACACGGGGAGGATTAGGCAAATGAAGCCGCTGACGTCACTTCTTCTTCTTCTGCTTTGGGTTTACTGGCAGGCCGCAAACCACTTCACGGCGTATACTGCCGCCCAAAGTCCTCGGCCGGAAGTCCCCGGAGTTGGGGACTGGCTTCAGTGGAAGCTGCTGGGAGTCCCAGCAGCTTCCACTGAAGCCTTCCGAGTAAATCGCCAGAACGCCGACACCTCCTCATCTCCACCGCTCCCATGTTTTATTTTGTGTTGCCATAAATTAGTCTCTCTGCGTTTCTGCGCTGGGCTAATGCTAATAATGCTAATGCGAGGATAATAAAATGGCGGCTTCACAAAACTTTTTGGGAGTTTTACGGGGCGTGGTTTGCAATCCGCCCAGCCAATCAGACATAGGAACCTTTTTCTCCCACGAAAGTCCCTGCTCTCTAGCAGGGACGGAAAAGGGGGTGAAAAGGTTCTCATGAACTAATTTTAGTTCCGGCTCTTTTTGGTGTGAACGCGACATTTCAGAACTATATCGGAACTAAAGTGGGAAAAGTACTGCGGTGTGAACGCGCCTATTGAGAGCAATGAAGGGATTTTATTGTTCCTCTCCGAGAAAAAAAAGGAATTCTCAAAGGGGAGGCGTCTGTGGTAAACCAGCCATGTAGGGTTATTAGTTACAAGAAGCCAGGCAGTTGTTCGAGGCTCGGGATGCTTCACTTATTCAGGTATTCATCCCGTAACATAGACGACCTTAGTTGGTGGATTGCATTTGCTGGCACCTGCGGTGTGTAAAATGCAGACCTGTTTGTGTGCCCGGAGGCAAATAAAGACACTCTTCTGGTCGATAGACTCCCTCCCTCCCTTCTCTCTCCTTCTCATCCATATGTTCCTTCGGTCTCCAGGGTATTATGGACCACAGAGCAGATTGTTGGCTGCTATGTAGGGGGAAACAGTGAGACAGCTGGGCACCCATCACAAGGCCAAACAGATGTTCAGGTGACTTAGAGAGGAAGTGAATGAAAAAATAGGAACGACAGGGAGGGGAGACAGAGGGAGAGAGGCGATGTGGAAGAAAAGATTGCAGATGCATGGTGTAGAAAAATGAATTCATACGTTGACTTCATTAGGAACCCTCGTCAGCTTCTGAGGTGGGCCAAATGCTTTCCAGTACCTCTAGGCCACAGGAGTCTGTCTCCTCTCCCATATTGATTCACCAACCAGTCTTTCTGCTGTGGGTCTACTGCCTTTGATCTCTTGATTATCGTTGCCTAAATGTGGACAAGATGGCTAAGCTGCTCAAGGATTCAGCGCTTTAATTCTGATGCTCCTTGGGGAACATTCAGAAGTTGGAATTGAATCCCGCCCTGCAACCAAAGAATGAAACATTTCCCTTTTTTATCTCCGTCCATGTGATGATAGAGAGAACAAGGACAACTTTCGCAGACTTTCGCAGTATTTTCCGTGTCTCAGGGCCAAGCTTTTTCCAATCAGAGCCTATAATATGATGCAAATCTGCACAGTGACTGTCACAACAAAAATCTTTATTCTATTGAGTTTCTCTTGGCTGTGGACCTTTTTTTTCTAAACTGCATTTGTCAAATAAGCTCGACGAAGGTCTTCGATTTTTTTCCTTTCCCACCCCTTCTCTTCTTTCTTCTGCCAGCCTTTGTTCTTTGGTTGCAGGTCTCATATATAATACATGAGGATTGGGAGACTTATCCAGTTCTGGCCATACTGGCTGTTATTCCCTGGGAAGGGGCTATATTTAAGAGCTGGATAGGTCATAGATGGCGCCAGGGGAACTGCTGACTTCAACCCAAAAGGTGGTGGTGCCTGAATACCATTAGAAAACTAAAATAGAACTGACACAATTGCATTGGAGCAGTGGCAAACTAGCTGTAAAGGAATTACAGCGGATGTAATGGAGGTTTGGATCTATTTTGTCAGACAAGGGCCTTGTAGGCGACAACACTCTGCTCCCTTGTTGCTTTTTACAGAACGTGTGTACTTCCCTGTATTGGATTTTAGCCTGGTATCTGTATCTCTTTTCCCTAGAATAAATTAAATTCCTGACCTTTTTTTATTCTTGTGTTATACAGCTGGCACCACCTATATCTTCGGTAAAGGAGGGGGTCTGATCACATACACTTGGCCCAACAATGAGAGGCCAAGCACGCGGACGGACCGACTGGCGGTGGGCTTCAGCACGACCATCAAAGACGGAATCGTCGTCCGCATCGACAGCGCCCCACGTCTGGGTGACTACATCATGCTCCACATCGTAAGTACATCTTTTTTTATTATGTTTGAGTTTCTGGAAACATTTACACATACTTTGAGCACAGTCACAACTACCGTACCGACACAAATACTTTCAAATGACTAGGGTTCGCTATTGTAGATTCCATATTACAGAAGGGACTACTCTGAACTAAACTAGTTGCCATATTTTAATACATTCCTCTAGATTGTCATGTGAAGCTCAACTAGTTGAGCTTTCCACAGGGAGTGTTCTCCATATACCAATTGACAGTTTACAGCAGGGTTTACAAAAGACCTTTGACTGTTAATATTTCCGAATTCCGGCCATATAGAAAACCTAACGGACAAGTGTATATAAGAGCTTACGTTTCAGCCATTTGTTTTTCAAAGTGTTTGCACATTTCCCCGAAAAAAAGTTGGACCAATTTCTTGATCTCTTACCACTCTACTTAGGTGATTTATTCAATTAGATTCAGGCCAAACATATGGCTCAAACTAATTATCAACAGTTTTATATGCATTTTATCTCCTATAAATTACAATGAATGATCCAGAAGCACTCAAACTTTCCAGCATTCAATCATTCCTCAAGGTTTATGTATTGCAGTATTCTGGCCAGACTCAGCCCATAATGCTCAAACTGAATTATACAAACGGTGCAGATCTATAATAGAAAAGACATTTTTTTTGATAACTTACTCCCCCTGCTATAAGCCTCTGCTCACCATCCTCTCCTAGAAAAAAACCCTTCTTCTTCACCACATTCGAACTGACTCCCAGCATGAATAATGAATGCGGCTCTCCATACATATGCAGCGTGTTCCCACATGTTGGAGAAACATGAAAACTGGGGGGGGGGGGAGACTTCGAGTTGGAATTCTTGGCCAGTCGACCGTGTATCCGTGCAGCATCTTAATAATCTCACTCGGCGACCTTGTGTTTGACTTGTTTACATAAGCATTAAGTATTTAAATAATCATCAACAGTAGCTACAGTAGATGAATGCAGAGCGGGCAAATCAGTGCCGTTGGGGGGGGATGAAGAGGCAGCGGTGGCTGGGGGCGGTACGGGGGGGTGGGTTAAGAGTTGCTGCTGACGCCATGTGAAAAAAAAGATGTGATGATGAGGAGGAGCTACAGTTGCTAAAGCAGATTGAAAGTACTTTTCTTGTTAAAGAGCTCCCCTCATCTCCTGAGTGTTGGCCATGTGGTGCAGAAAGCAGCCATCTGCTCTGCAAAGATGAGGGCCAACAACAAGCAGTTTGGAGCTGCCTTTACACTATAGAGAGATGAAGTGAGTGTGTGTGTGTGCATAGGTGATAGAGGGTGTTGGATAGAAAATGATGAAGATGTAGCAATGTGGGAAACGCCCCTCTGCGTCTCAGACCGAGTGAGTAATTGCAGGAACTCCTAAAGGAAGGAAAAAGTATTTTTAATTCAAGCTTTTTTTAAGATATCCCACACAGCTAGCCAAGCAGGGTATATTTTATAATTTGGCTGCGAGTCGTATGAATGTCTTCATTCCTCCGGTCTCATGGCGTTAAGGAAATTATTATTAGTAAAAAGCAACTGGAGTTTTTGCCAACTCATTCAGAGTAACAGCATGTTCTGAACACAGTGAGGTTTTTTTTGGTTAACATAGCACTGCTAATATTTCAAATGATTTATTGGGAGCCAAGGGTGTACAAACAAAGTGAGTTTCATTTATTATTAACAGTTATTGTACCCTTAAACTGTAGAATAGTTGGCACAAATCAGGAAGCTCTGAGGCTCCCTTTTTCCCACAATTACCCCACTATCAAACAGGAACCAAATGAGGAAAATGTGACTGTTTTTGCCACAGGTGAACGTTAAATATTTATTAGACCTTGAGTGAATATTTAGCCGTGAGACTGTTGGATTTGGTTGCATCTCAAGGAAAATAAACCACTGCTTGACCTCACTTCCCATGTTTTTTATTATCATTTTCCTCGTGTGAGAATACGCCTCTCCAGTTCTGTGGACGTGGGTATATTGGATCTCTTGAAAGTTTATTGGTATTGTATTCGCAGATAAAACAACTTTGTAGTGTGTACAACTTTCTAGAGTGTTATAAAATGAGCAGATGTCCCAGGCGTCGCTGAAATGTCATCAGATAATAACTCCTAACGACAGGCGTCAGGTCTTCGCTGTCAGGGTTTTGTGTTTCGTAATGAATCTGGGAGAAAAGGTTAAATCCATTCTGGATATATGTCTGCCCAAAGGTCTCATCAGGCTCAGGGCCATTACCTTAGCCTTTGTAATTATTAGGTTACTACTTGAACATTTCCACATTAAAGTCTAGATATAGGAAAACTATAGTATTTTGATAGTTGAGTAAATGGCCTCTTAGAGACAACACAAAGGAAGCGGTATACTCATTTTTAAGTTGCATTCTGGCCTTTTTTATAACATTTCAAAGGGAGATTATGAATGTCTTTCACTGACCTTGACTTAGTCTTAAGTATCTCATGCTTACAGTGTATTCTGACAGATAAAAAAAGACCGTAGAAAGCATTTTCTTAAACACGAAGCAACACATTAAGAGGCAATACCTAATCACTGCCTCCCTTCTTATTCTGCCTCTCTTTTTTTGTGTTGTTTTCTTCATTATCTTCTTTCCCTCCTCTCCGTGATTAGCTCACGGCTTGTTTGGCAATCATGAATTAAAATGCTGATTGTAGTGTTTACATTTTAACTGCAAAAGAACAACTGCGTGCTTGGTTGGAAATCCGAGGGGTAATTTGGGGTAATTTGCGGAGGTGAGCGCGACATTCTGCTGCTATTTTATCTCGGAGCTCATTGCGTTTCTCCTCAGTTTTAATGTGGAGCGTACAAAGAAAGGACGGGGACATTGCTTGTGTTTCATGTTGCCTATAGTGAAAGAAAATCTGAATGTAATGCTAAAATAACAACCTAAAGCTGCGTGGAGAACACATATCAAAGATGTTTGTATCACAGGTGACTTGAAGATAAATTAAAAGGGGTTGTTGCAATAGAACAGTGATTAGTGTGTGTGTGTGTGTGTGCGTGTGTGTGTGTGTGTGTGTGTGTGTGTGGTGTGTGTGTGTGTGTGTGTGTGTGTGTGTGTGTGTGTGTGTGTGTGTGTGTGTGTGTGTGTGTGTGTGTGTGTGTGTGTGTGTGTGTGTGTGTGTGTGTGTGTGTGTGTGTGTGTGTGTGTGTGTGTGTGTGTGTGTGTGTGTGTGTGTGTGTGTGTGTGTGTGTGTGTGTGTGTGTTTGTAGGGGGGTATTTTCATTTGAAAGTGTGTGTATGTGTGTAAGCTTGAATCCATGACAGAAAGACTCTTAAGCTGTGGGCTAGATGTGCCGGTGGTGACTCACAGACTCTCTCACTAGGGACTGCAGATGACTGCAGGTGAAGATTACCCAAGACACACACAAACACACACTTACACATAGAGAGAAATCCTTAAGAATCTCATCTCGACAGCATCATGAAAAACTTTTTTTAAGAAACTAACGATAGTGAATTTTATCAAAGAGGCTCTTTTAGGAATGTTGGGGTTTGACATCAGTATGTTATACTCTACTTCTATTGGCTAGCACTCCAACACTGGTACGTGATAGGCTAAGGGTTGCAACATCTCTAAGCAGATAACCAATCACAACACAGCTGGCCAGCTAACCCTCCTATGAGAAACAGTTGAAAACAAAAGCACTTTTCCATGAAAGCCTATAGGCGCATTCACACTGCGGTACTTTTCCCACAAAGGTTCATGTGAACTTAGTTCATGTGAACTCTTTAGTTCGCATGAACTAAGTACAGATCGCGTTCACACTGGAAAAAGTCCCTGGGGGTGGATTAGGCAAATGAAGTCGCTGACGTCACTTCTTCTTCTTCTGCTTTGGGCTTACTGGCAGGCCGCAAACCACTTCACGGCGTATACTGTCGCCCAAAGTCCCCGGCCGGAAGTCCCCGGAGTTAGGGACTGGCTTCAGTAGAAGCTGCTGGGACTCCCAGCAGCTTCTACTGAAGCCTTCCGAGTAAATCGCCAGAACGCCGACACCTCCTCATCTCCACCGCTCCCATGTTTTATTTTATGTTGCCATAAGTTAGTCTCTCTGCGTTTCTGCGCTGGGCTAATGCTAATAATGCTAATGCGAGGATAATAAAATGGCGGCTTCACAAAACTTTTTGGGAGTTTTACGGGTCGTGGTTTGCAATCCGCCCAGCCAATCAGAAATATAGCTCTTTTCTCACAAGAGAGCCGTACGAAAGTCCCTGCTCTCTAGCAGGGACTTTCGTGGGGGTAAAAAGGTTCACATGAACTAATTTTAGTACCGGCTCTTTTTGGTGTGAACGCGATAAAAGAGTTCACATGAACTAAGTTCACATGAACCTTTGTGGGAAAAGTACCGCAGTGTGAATGCGCCTAATGTAAACATGTCCCAGTAGAGGCAGAAAATAACAATATTGTCCAGAAAAGGAGCATAATATGTTCTCTTTAAGGTTGATTTGTCATGACTGACACAGTGTTTTCAGGAGAAACAGATCAGACCCTGCAATTTCTTTAAAGACACAACCGTGTGACTTGTGTATCATCCATTTTATCCACCAGTGTGTTGGAAAATCCAAAGTCCCGGTTTATGTTTGATTACATGAAACAACACTAGGTGCCTCCGCCTCCAGAAAGACCCTATCTTCTCTCTCTGACATTGTTTGAACACTTCAGTAGAGTGGTAACGTTTGCAGTAACCCCAGACAAACTCACTCCTGTGAAAGACGTCGTCGGTGACAAGTTGCAAGTGAGGCAGAGCTGAAAGTGCGAATGCTCCGTCAGGTTTCACGTCTGGCAGCTCTTTTGGTTTTTAATTAAGGGAGAAACAGGGAGACACCTGACAAAATATAAAACTCTGCAAGTATTGCGACACATTCTGTCGCAGGTCAATTCAATGTATGATGCAATTAAAAATGGAAGAAGTCAGATTATTACTTTAAAATTCAAATACTGCAGTTAAAAATGTATAAGAAGTAAAAGCC